AATTTATTAAAAAAAATAATAAGCCGGTGCTCAGGGAGTGGGAATTTACAGATTATAACGTTCAGATGATTAAGATGATTTTGCCATCCCTTTCCATACATTTCTTGTTTATTTTGTGAAATTCATTGATGTGCCGCTTTTTGATCACTGAAACTATACTTCCACCCACAGAAAGATGAAATACTTGTCCTGTTTGGTTCAGGAGATGTGAAGGAAGAAATAAATTTTCTTATAATTGTTCCTAGTCTGCCTTACCTTCAATCAATAACTTATATATCTTGGCGTACACTTTCGACATGGCACGAATGCTTTGCCAAGATAAAGTTAGGAAATTGTTATGCATGGGGGCATTTTATTTTAATTCAAAATTAAAAACATGCCAAGCATAAATCAATAATTGACCTATTTTTTGAACTGTTGACATTCAGAATAACTTTGGACAAACTATGTAGAGTGTTTGGGTCTGTGACAAACATTTGAAATCTCGGTTCACAAACCTCAAAAAGCATACTTTTTCGGTATCCCTTAATTTTCCCCATTCTTCTTACATTCAGAAGCTGACGTACTGGTTTCAGCACCTCCGCGATGGCGCCGGCTTCACTGATGGTTACCATCGCAATAACCTTGTGCTCCGTTAATGGTGTATACTCTACGAGCTTTCCTGTCGGTGAGGCATACGCAATTATGATTGTTATTGTTAGATCGGATATCTCCAGTAATTTTATTCCACTTGAGAGCGCAAGGGCGCCAAATTATTGTTGATTCTGACCGAAACATTTCGACTAACACATGAAAATATATTCAAAACAAGAAAAGCCGGATGTATTGAGTAAATGCTCATCGTCTCATTTTCCTTCGAAGTGTGTTGCATTATTTATCGAGTAAACTAAATTTTCTCCTCTTAAGTGCAAATCTTTTACTACAGCACTTGAAGATACAGATTTTGTTTCAATAAATGTCCAATTGTTTGGCTATATAAAGGGTTTTGGGTACGTTTTTCATATTTATGCTATTACGGGATGCTTTTCTGCATTTAACAACTTACTGAAATCAACTAAGAAGCAGATCCACGGCGGAACTTACCGTCTGTTTGCTGGAAATAATTGCGCACGCTGCTTGTGAGTTGGGGGAAAATCTGACTCAGAATCACTAAATGTGTTCTTAAACTGTCAAAGTGCACTTTAAAGATAATATATTTCACTTTTCTGGGGGGGGGGGATCCGCCAAGAATACTAGAGTCGATATCCCGAGAGCTACACCAGCACCTGAAATAGCATGTACTGAAATTCGGGTTAACTGCGCTCCATTAAGAAAACTCCTATTATTTTACTCTGTTTTGAAGCGGTGCATCAGCATTTTTGATATATGCACCCTTCGACTCTTTTTTATTTACACTACAGGACTCTAACCTGAGGGCTCATAGCTATGTCAAGTGTAGTAACTAAACACTGGACAGCAAAAGTACAAATGCACGAAAGCTTTAAAGACCAGCGTTCCTTTTCAGTGCCTGTATACTGATTCTTGAACTGTATACATTATGTCAGAAGGAAGAAAATCCTTTTGTTAAATGGCTGGAAGAGATACCCCTGCTTTTCCTCCTTTCATGAAAAAATGTCACAATGTCACAACCTCCACTGTTCTTTTCGACATTGTTTAACTGTATGCACTTACAGTTTGTAATACATTCAAAATAAAACCCTGTCCTCTTGAACGAAGTTTGTGATTTGGCCAAAGAAATCCCAAATAGTTTAAAACAATTGCGTCATTTTGTATTCAATGTTGTATAAATATAGGTAAATTTTTCACACAATTTAATGTTTTTATCTGTTCGTGTCTACTTTGATTATATGAGTATTCTTATTTCAAATTACATACCTTCGTTAACCAAGACAAATGCCGAGCAAACATTCAGTAAACTACTTATTATTTGCCTTGATTGCACTCTGCTCTCCTTGTTTTACATAGGTCTACAATTTGAAAAAAGACTAAATGTCCCATTTTTTCAAACTTGTGTTTCCATCTATTGAAGTAATGTTTATTTCCCTTTTCGTGCAAGAAATTAGTAGAACTATTTCTGTGAATATGTTGATTCAGTTCTTTATGTCATTTTAATCGCTTTTTCGACCTTTTTTTTCTTGTAATACATTGTGCTAAATATGTCTGTGTATAATGGTTGTACACCATCCGATGAATTTGATAGAAACATTCCTGAAATCAATCGGCCTAAGATTAATTTAGCCTTAACATTGTATCGATGGTCATAAGGTGAGACAAATATTGGAAAAAGACTGATTATCTGTTAGAATAAGCTGTTACTGTAGTCTTTTCGTGTTCCAGTCTTCCAGACACAACATTTAAAATTATTCCTTATGAATTTGAACACAAAAGTTTAAAAGGTAAGGGAAAATCTCTATTGCTTAGGAATATTATAATGCTTTCCACAGCTGTATTGCCATCTGAAGTATTTGACGAAGTGTTGATTTACTGCGAAGACGGGTCTTCTGCGACTCCAGACGCTAGATGTAACCGGTTTCAGGACTGCCTTAGCGGAAAAGACGAACACGATTGTGGTAAAAAGTTTCGTGCCTTACCCACATATTGTGCATTTTCATTGTCTGAGAGCTAGTCGCATGGCTCTCACTATTTTGCTGTATGGCCAAAACAATCTGTGGCGATCAGATAAATATCCGGTGTGGCGTCACCTTAGTTTAAACCACGCCTACTGCGCAAAGGAAATTACTGCACAAAAGAGAATCAGAACCACTCTACAAGTACGAAATGGGACAGAGGGTACCCCCTTAACAAGTCCAATCCCCATACGCACCTCTGCCTATTGTCAATTAACACATCCCCCTTTGATGTCTGTCCCATAGTTAGCTTCATATGAGAGCCACTGGAACTGGAACGCATCTTTCGTGTAATCCGAAGTGCATGAGCATGTCCATGTATGGCAAACGAACCGAATGTGCAAGACCACCGACATTGTAACTAAATGCTACTGGGGTTGCTGATGCCACAGGTGTCAAAATTACCAGCTTTTTA